TTGATTCGTGTTCACGATAGCGATGGAGAAATGTTACAGATTGGGAGGGATTAATATTCGGAAGTGAAAAGGGGTGTTTTATTTTACAAAATGCGACCTTGAGGTGGATGCACCGTATGTAGCGTGCGGAGGGCAATGGTCTCGGGCCGGTCAAGCCGGGACAGGGGCAGGTAGGTAGGATCGGCCGTCGGGCCAAAAAAAAAAAGTTTATATAACTCGCAGAAGTGGGTCACGGAAGCAATCTCGAGATCAGATTCTCAAGATCAACGCGTCAGTACTTCAGTGGGTGTGCACTTCACCAATCGCGTCGGCCCGGAGCTAAATGATCAGGCAAACATTGTAACCACAACGTCGTTTCAATGCTCAGGCTAGTTCTCTGCGTACGGGATCCATGATTTAACCAAAATCCATGGCAAGCCCTTATTTCACCAACCCTTGAGGTCCTGACTCCTCATGCCGGTCCGACCGGTATGTGCGTGAATCCAGTGGCACCTACATGTGACTAGTTAAATCAAGGCTAAATTGTGCCGCTAATTCTAGGGTTTACCTATACCATAGCCATTATGGAAGGAAAATGGCATGCCGCCTCAAAATCCGATGATGGTTGGCCTATCCCGCTCTAAAAGCCGGCCTTTACCGCATTAAGTCAAATACACCGCCAGCCTGTCTCCCTCTACGGTGATTTTCATTTCTTTGCACCTTTCTCAAAGCCCCCATGTCTAGCCTTCCCGAAACCAGTACCTTGACGCTTCCCGAGGTCTTGAATCTCCGGATGGAGCATGCTCCAGAGAGTCCGATGTATGTTTATGCCGTCGAGGGCGAAGAAAATATCACGACCATCTCGTACCTCGAATTCAGGCGGGCCAGTCATAGGGCTGCTCATGCACTTTATCCGGACAACACCGCAAGGCAAGAAGCTGTCGCATTGATTGGTATGGTCGATACGATTTTGTATCAAGCAATTATCATGGGGATAATGATCGCTGGTCGGGCTGTGAGTGGACATTCAAATAATTTGGGATTCCGATTCAAAACTCATTAATTCTCTAGCCCTTCCCTATTTCTCCCCGGAATTCCGCAGTCGCCGTCGCGAACTTGCTGCTGACTACATCTTGTCATCGCATCCTCGCCACTAAATCCACGGTCCACGACCTGCTTTCTGACGTTGCAGTCGAACTTGCGAAGAATCATCCCGGTTTCGATTTGACTGTCGAGGAAATGCCATCGGTCCAAGCCATCTACCCGAGGTTGGGAAAAGAACGGTCGGAAGATCCGTTCAGGCATTACCTCCCTATCGACCCATACTCGCCTCTTGAACGAGTCTGTATAATCTTTCACTCAAGCGGAAGCACTGGCTTCCCCAAAGCCATCAAGCACACATATCTGTCCCTGATTCATTGGGCGCAATTTCGTACGCTTATTTGTTTGAAGTCTTTCATGTTTGCTCTTCTGACGGTGAATCTCCAGCGGCTGGGACTGAGCTGCGAGCCTTGCCAATAAGCTCAATGGTTAGCTTCATATGCGCAGCTTCAGGAGCTGATCCTAACTTTGAGCCATGCAAACTCAGGGCCTCCCCCCATTTCACACCTTCGGCGTCAACTCCCAGCTCATTCTCCCACTTTACGGCTTCCTCTGTGTATCGATATACCCACCCACAGCCAATCCAGTATTGGGTGTATTACCTATGGCACCGAGCCCCGCGAGCATCCTCGACCACACTCTGCGCACCAACTCGAAGATTCTGCTCACGATCCCCGCCATGCTGCAGATTTGGGCGCAGTCCCCCTCCGCGCTCGCCCAATTGCAGTCTATGGTGCTCATTATTTACTCTGGCGGATTCATGCCCCCGCGGCTCGGCAGGATGCTGAAGGCAGCAGGGGTTAAATTCCGGCCGGCATACGGCGGGACTGAGTTTGGGGGCCCGACGGTCGTGCAGCTGCGTGAGGGGGACGAGGAGGAGTGGGCGTGGATGGAGTTCAGTTCTCGCGCGCACATTCGGTGGGTCGCCCAGGGCGACGGGACGTACGAGTGCCAGTTCTTGGTGCGGCGTTATTCAATCGTGGTTGGTTCGAACCTGAACTTAGTGGGTTGTAGACCACGGATACGCATTCTCTCCCCGTCGAAAATCTTCCTGACGTCAGAGGTTATGCGACGGCGGACCTGTGGGTGCGCCATCCGACAAAGGATTATTTGTGGAAGCTCCTTGGACGAATCGACGATGTGATTGTTCATTCTAGCGGAGAAAAGACGGTCCCCGCTCCGATGGAGGATGTTATCATGACTGATCTTCAGTGAGTTCTTTCGCAATACATCGTTATGGTTTAATCTTGATCAATTGGGCGCTCAGCATCAAAGGCGTCGTCATTTTTGGTGCGGGGCATAGCCAGCCCGGAGTCCTGGTGGAGCTTGTCGAAGACATTGAGATCCAGAATGATGCCCGAGCCTCAGAATGGCGGAACAAAATCTGGTGAGGGTTTCCTTGGGGGCCTGAATATTGTTAAATTGATTCGAACATATACAGGCCGACGATTGAGGAAGCAAACGAGGACACGCCTGCCTTCAGCAAAATATATAAGGAGATGATCCTGTTCTGCAAGCCTGGCCAGCCACTTCCTCGGAGCGCAGGTAAAGGGAATGTGGTTCGCAAGGCCGCGTTGGCCGAGTATGCAGCTGAGATCGAGAAGTTGTGAGTTTAGATTTACTCCGCACGGTGTTGTTTAAAAGTTGCTACCTGTAACAGATATGAGACCGTAGAATCAACGACAAGGGGAGAGAACATCATCCTCCCTGATAGCTGGGAAGCGCCCAATATGCTGCGATGGATCCTTGTCCAAGCGGAAGACATAATTGCGAACACAAGTTTATCCCCTTCACGCGACTTGTTTGAGCAGGGCTTCGACAGGCAGGTTACACTTCCTGCAAACACAAACCGAAGCATTGATTTCTGATTCATATTGATAGTTTGAGTGCCACCATTCTTCGACGCCGCATCACTGCAGCATTTCATACACTATCCAACCATAGTGTCGAACATATCCCCCACGACATTGTATACCACCACTCAAGTATCACCGATCTGGCGGACTTCCTCGCAAGGCTTGCATCTACTTCGGAGCTTCGGGAGGAATTCTCCGATGTCGAGTGTATCAAGGAAATGGTTGAACGATATCGCACTACGGGATGGAATCCTGCGGACCTATCGGAATCAAATGGGCGTATCGTGGTATTTCTGACTGGGTCCACGGGAAATCTCGGGGCTGATCTTCTGGCGCAACTGGTATTGCACGACCAATTCGCCGTGGTATATGCCTTCAACAGACCGAGCAAGAAGAACGAGTCGTTGGTTTCACGTCACGAAAAACGGTTCAACGAAAAGGGACTGGACTGCGGGCTACTCAAGTCAGAGAAAATTGTCTTCTTAGAGGGCGACACCGCCGAAAATCAACTTGGTTTAGATGACCTTGTGTATAAGCAGGTATGCACCAACATTATGTTTAGTTTATCTCCTTCGCATCTTCCGGTTTAGATTCAGCAGAATGTAACAATCATCATCCACGCTGCTTGGCGGCTCGACTTCAATCTCACGCTTCAATCTTTCGAGTCCAATATACAGGGTACCACCAACCTCATCAAAATGGCACAGGCCTCACGACATGCATCCTCCCTGCGATTCTTGTTCACCTCTTCCATCAGTTCTGTACAAGGGTGGAATCCAACGGAAGGATTGGTGCCAGAAGAAATCATCCAAGACCCGCACGTCGCCGTTGGTACTGGCTACGGCGAAAGCAAATTTGTTACAGAACAGGTGCGATTATTTCAGCATCTTCCCTCCCGTTGAGTACTGACAGGCGGTCTGGTAGATTTTATTTGGCAGCGGGTTGCACTCCTGCTCGCTCAGAATTGGCCAAATGAGCGGCAGCCGTCTGACTGGCACGTGGCCCGTTACAAACTGGTTTCCAATGCTTGTCCAAGCCAGCTTAAAACTGGGCGCTATTCCAGACGCCCGAGGTGTCAGTCGCCAATGGAATCTTTGATATTGGTGCTGATTTTTCCGCCACAGGTCATCTCATGGATCCCCGTGGACGCAGTCGCACAATCCATTTTTGAGCTCGTTTTGAGTGAAAAGAGCTTGCCGCCGGTCTTGAACATTGTCCATCCGTACCCAATAACATGGTCTTCCATGATCGGCACGCTGCGCGCGGCTCTCATTCGCGCCAAGGGATTGGGACCCGACGCCCTTCAGCTCGTTTCATTTCAGCACTGGTTCAAACTCTTGGAAAGTTCCCCGGATTCAGATCTTGTGAGTTATTCCGTTGCGTGTAAGATTAACAGGGAAATACTGATTTATGGACAGCCCGCCTTGAAGCTGCTCGATTTTTACCGCCACATGTCGCAAGGGGATGCGTGTATGTCAGACCCAAATTCCGAGTTTGCGGGCATGCCATCCTTCGATACAACCACCCCAACTGTCGGGGTTAGCTCAGAAATCAAGACCCTAACGCCACAGGAAGTCGAGAGATGGGTTGGTTCAATAATTTTGGTATGAATTCCACATCAACAAATTCCTACTTCACGTACGTACCTTCTGGAACGAAAAACGGCCAGTAACAGAGGCTGATTTTGTGGTTTGGGACCAACATGTAAGATCATAATATTGAGGTTTGCTGTAATGTGCTTCTGTCGATAGAATTGTTGAAGTCATTGTGTATGGTGTGGCTGGGTTCCTTGATTTCCCCTACATTTATTGACAATCGCTCCATGGCTCAGACATTACTCAACAGTGTGGCAATCATGCACCCTGGCTTATCGGCATCACAATGAGTCACCAACACAACCAGGCCCAGAAACCCTGCTTGCAATGAATTCATTCTAGTAAATGCTTCCAAAAAAACCAGTGTTGAAAGACAGTATTGCAGAGAAGGACTGCGCGCTGAATTTCTCGCGCGCACACACTTCTTGGCCAAGGGGATTCTGACGGCCCCAGAGTTCAGCCTCCTTAGTGCCACTAGGAGGAATCGAACCTCCGACCTCCCCACTGTCGCAAGTAAGCTGAGATGAGGAGTTCTACCACTGAATTATAGTGCGCACGAAGACGATAAAAGTCTGTGAATAACTCAAGACTAACTGTCCAACTTATGCCCAACGGTCCAAGCCGAGATGGCGCTCATGATTGTCAAGTCCAAACCGAGTCTGTTGTCACCGGCGCGGGGATATTAATACAAACTAGAGAATAACGAGAATGAGTGTCGCACATGCCATAAAGGTGAGTGATCGTCACGGAAGCAATTTCGGGATCAGATTCGATTCGCCGTGGGAGCGGGGAAGTTCGGGGAAGGATCAACGCGTCAGTGGCTGTGCACCTCGCCAATCTTCTTTGCCGTCTTCCTTCTTCCTCCATTCTCCTCCACCCTCCTTCCGCCCAGCGCCAAACCGCGATGACTCCCAAGCTCAACGACTCTGCCAAACCAACACTCAATGACTTTGTCAAAAACGCCGTGAAATTACGGATCGGGCGCCCGGATTACAAGCCCCGGCGACTGCCTCCTCTCGCAGACTCCATTTGCTCTACCTTTGCTCCAGACATGGGCGACTCCGAGACTTCGCCTACTGCTTTGCTGCGCGAGGAATATAATCAGATCGGTCGCTCGACCTTCAAGAGCTCCATATTTCTAATTGCACTCCCTACCCTCTCCGGAAAGCCAGTCGGCTTCGCCCAGGTCAGAGTTCTGACAGCCAGAGTAGCGCGCCAAGCGTCACTGATATGGATACACGTTCTATTTATAGGCCGTCCAAGACGTTGTATCCCGTCATGACATTCTCCGACTTATTATGGAGAAGACTGACGCGCGGTTTCTCTCGCACATTAAAAAGAACTCGAAAATAGACGACAGCTTCTATGCCTTACTTGGCGCGCTTTGGATACAAGTTGGATTCAACACCGAGACGATCGTGAAGTTCCTGCGTCCAATCTTTGAACCTTTGTTGGCGGCGGCCGGAAATGCTTTCTTGGGATAGTGCGTTTCACCCCTCATAGAATGCTTGCGACCCGCAACACCTTTATACATAGCGATGCAACCATTTCAGGAAATACTGCGGTGGCGTCATCAACAGACAGCCAGATTCGAATCGGCAAAAGTGTGTCATCCGTTGTTTTCACGCGAGATATGGACTTAGAACTCTGAACAGACCTTCGCGTACTCTTGAATGTCCAAAAGGTCGGCAAGATCCTAGCGGCTCAGAAGTCACCTCCGGCTGTAAGTTCTGGTTCACGAGTTTCAGAATCACCATCTAATTTATGCTCAGGTATCGTCCTCCTCCGACTCAAGCGGCTTTGACGCCAGCCAGGAGACCAATGAAGGACCAGACGACACGTGGGCCGAATACCAGGTAAGCTCCGCCCTGATTAGTAGAGGACGCACTCTTGATCGGCTGTTGCACTGAACGCAGGAGAAGCTGGTATGCACCGGTCCTTCTACATTTGAGCTCCCAATCGCTGACATCCGAGTTGGCCATCCAGGTTGTCGAGCCGCCCGCTACCTTTAGTCCGAACCTTGAGGTGGCTCCTCACAGCGAGATTATGGGAGAGGACTTCCATGACTTGGTGCGATTCTTTTCGAAGCCGAGAGTTCGCGCCTTGGCTGACCTCCGCCGCTGCAAAAAAAAAGATCTCAATAGGGCTCCCCCCCGCGGAATCCTCGCCGGGGCTCCCTCTCCCACTTCAAGGCCTCCGAAGTTTGCACCGAACATCGAGGTGCGCAAGATCGTCAATATAATTTTGGTATCATTCTAATGACACGACGTAGATGTCCCCGGCGGGGGCTCCGGTCTCGTTCAGGGCCTTCCGCGCTCCTTTGCTTTTAGCGTCGGCCGAGGACGGACTGGTGGGAGAGGTGCGGCTCCGCTTCTCTCCCTGTATTATACAAACAATCCAACTGCATTTAACAGCTTGAATTTTCGGCGGCCCATCTTCCTCGACGCTCAGCCGACTCGGAAACGGACAGCGGGAATCGCTCATTGGCGCCTGCATTTGTTGTGCGTTGAATCTTTGCCACTGCACTCCAATAGTTACTCATCCGAGGGCATAGTTCACTCCTCCGCCTCGACCCCAGTTCCTGGAACGTTCGCAAGCTGTACGTCGCAGTATACTACCTCTCTACAATTGTCCCAACCTCCCTTTCTTTGCTTTCCAGGCTGCCGTCGAGAAATCCCCCGAACCCCGCCATCCGCTGACGCCACACAACGGTCGGAATACGATGGCTGGGACGACCAGACCAGGCTGCCTCTCAAGAGATCGCAGAGCTCTGAGCTTTGAGTGTATTCCTCCTGCCTTTTTCTCATTTGTAAACTACGCATAAGTCCATGTAGCAGCAGAAGTGTCTTTTATGTGAACGTAGAGCCCAGAGAGAGGCCAAGATTGTAAATCCCGCGCACTATAATATGAGCATGATTCTCTACATAGAACTGGTCCCGATCGATGTTATCATGCACCCTCTGTAAACTCAGGATCACCATGTTGCAATAGTACACAATGCAAGTGATATATATATATAGTATATGTATACTGACGCGACGTGAGGCTAAGCAAACAAACACACTATAAGAGACATGAGACCGACGCGCGTGACAATGACAATGAACGAAACCGATGATCAGTAGGTATGTACGTTGTATGGAGGACGAGAGAGAGAGATAAAAAAAGTAGTAGTAGTAACAACAGAGCAAGAGGAGCCCAGAGATCGGAATACAATCAATCGTAAGCCCTACCGCGGCATCGACATCATCGAGGCATTGTCGGACATGAAGCGCTGCGGGCCCGCCGCAGTGCGAAGTGCGAGGACGCGGTCGTCCGAGACCATGAGGATCTCGTCGCGCCCGACGCCCTGTGGGTAGCGGTGCTGTTGCTGGTGCGGGTGCTGGTTCGGGTGCTGCTGCATGTGCGGCGGGAGCGCGTACCCGCCGAACGCCGACCGGCTGTTCGCCGAGTTCGGCGGGCTGTACGGGTCGTACCCGCCCTGGTACGTGTACCCCCCGCCGCTGTTGTTCACCGACGGCGGCGTGTCCGCGAACAGCAGCCGCAGGTTCGAGCCCTGGATCACCTGCGACATGAGGCCGGTCTCGATATGTCGGATCTCCACAAACGACGGCTCGAATGCGAGAACGTATGGCTCGTGCAGCGCTGCCCGGTTATTAGCGCACAGTCTACAAGCTCCAAAGGCGAGACATACCGAAGCCGGTGGGCGTCCCCTCCCAAAACACCATAAACTCCTTCCGCGACCGCCGTCCCGTTTTATTGACGTAAAATGCGAACTCTGCCGCCCATGTCATCCAAAGCCCACGAAAAGCGGAACCCACGACGCACCATCATAGCAAAGCAGAAAGTCGTTGTTTATGCGATATATCGCCATCGGGCGCAGATTCTCCCGCTTCCGGACAAATTCGAGCGACTCGTCAGCGGGGTCGAGCAGGCCCTGTGTCTCCAGCGAGTCCAGATCCACAATCTCAAAGCCCTTCGAGCACCCGATGCACATCCGCGTCTTGAGGTAGTGTATCGACGTCGACTCGACCGGGATGTAGAACTCCTGCAAACACACACGGTTATCAGTATGTAAAGCCCTCAGCGACACGCAACGGCGACTGACCTTAAACGGCTTGAGCGTGTCGTTCCCGCCCTGCAGCAGCTTCTTGAACGTGGGCTTCGCGCGCCCGCGCACCGTCTGCTCGATCGGCTCGAGCGCCTTGAACGTGCTCGAGAGCTGCGTCGACTTGACGATGCACACCAGCACGCGGCCGACGCAGAAGCCCGCCTTGAAGAAGGACGTATGCGTCGCGATGCGCTTCGCGCGCTTGAGCCCCGCCGTGGGGTCCCTGTGGTCGAGCGCGTCCAGCGGGAACGTCAGCACCTGGCGCTCTGCGAAACATATCAGCACGGCGGGAAAGAATATGTAAGGAGGAGGATGCGCACCGGAAAGCACGATGAGCAGCTGGTAGTCCTCAAGGACATCGACTTGGCACACATCGAGCAGCGCGAGCACCTTTACCGGGTCCTTGTTGATCTCGCGCAGGTCCGAGATGTACACCCCGTCGTCCGTTCCATACACGATCCGCCGTCCGCCGCCTACTCACCGTCAGCATCCCGCCACCACCTAAAGAAAGAGAAAGCCACTCACTAAACGGCGCCGCGCAATTAACCTTGTTCGCGCCAAAGAAGCCCTCGCTGAGCGCAACCGTATCAAACACCATGCTCCGCTCGCGCATCGCTGTCTGCTGCTTCTGAATGTGCTCGACCCACTTGCGCTGCGCGAGCGCCGAGTTGGCCCACAGCACGAGACTGTACGTCTTGCGCCCCAGGTGCGCGAACGTGATCCAGTGCGGGCCCTTGGCGTCGGGGCGCACGGTCACCGACAGCGGGTGCGGCGAGCTGCGCGTCGCGGTGCTCCCGAACGACGACTTGCGCACGAGCTGCCGCGCGCGCTGCCCGCGCAGCGTGTCCTTGCCATTCGTCGGCTCCTCCGACGCGCTGATGAGCAGGAGCTCGAGCGGGATTGGCTGTGGGGACGGTCAATAAACAGCGCCCTCAACACACTGGCGGTACGCACCCGTCGATACACGCGATACTGCTCATGCGTCTTGGTCTTGGCCTGCTTTGCAAACAGCAGCGCGTGGTCAAACAGATACACCTGCAGCTCCCCATCGCGCTTGTTCAGCACGCCCTTGTACACCAGTTCGCGCCCGTCCTCCTGCAACCGCAAGTCCTGTCCCACCATCCATCAGCATCCTTCGAAAGACAGAAACAAACAGCGCGACGCACGACCAGCTCCCCGGGCTTGAACACGAGCTGCGAGTCGAGCTGCGCGAGGTTGAAGCGATTCTCCGCGCGGCCCGACTCCTCGTTCACGCGCGACAGGAACGCGCGCACCTGCGCGACAACCTGCGGGAGGACGACCTTGTCCGGCGAGTCGTCCGGCGTGTGCTTGAGCACCGCCTCGAGCAGCAGCGGATACCGCGCCAGCCGCGTCGTCGGCTTCGTCAGGTACGCGTTCAGCTCCAGCTTGCGCGACTCGGGCAGCCGCTCATTCGTCTGTCCCG